TATTATATACCAGCCTGTAATGTTTCACTAAAGATTTTGATTCCCACCCACGTTCCTCCGAGAAAATCCACTCTAGGAGAATGCTTCAGCATCATGGAGAGTGACCAGAGATGGGACGCCAGGGAATTGGTTGTGAAATGTGGACAATGTATAAAGAGACTTAGAAAACACTTCCCATACTTTGTTCTCCCTGAAAATTAGGATCCACAGGATGGGGCAGAAGGAAAAGGGCTGGTAGGTTAATATATTTCATATTTTTAGGGGCAAGACTATATTTTATTCATTTTTTTATGACTCCCACAAGTCCTAGAGCAATGCCCCACATGTCCGTGGTGTGAACCCAGAGTGAGAGAGCCAGGCAGTGGAGTTTTCTCTTATTTTCATTGTGGATAGTTAAGTGCGAACCAGTCTAGAAAGACAAGGCTCATATTTCTAAATGCTCCTTAGTCTGAGGGTTCCTAAGGCTATTTCCTCCCGCCTTCCTCTCCCCATTCTTCTCTCTCCCACAAACATCAAGCTGTCCACTGCACGTCAGGGCTCCGTGAGAGCTGTGTTGAAAGCTCTGCAAAGACAGGGACATCATAGCTTTAGGTGTGGGGCTTCTCACATGTGACACTTAACAGTACCGGTAACTGATTGACTACATAAAATTAGAGCAGCCTTCTTCACTTCCACTCCAGGGCACTTGTGACATTAGAGAAAGTTGCACTACAATTCTGCCTAAATGTTTTGGCTTATCTATGGGGGGAAGGTGAAGAATAGCTCAGAGTTTCTGCTCTAAACAGTCTCATTGCCTAGTTGGGGAGATAAAACCCAGGTCTGTGAAGCAGCACTGAACAATCTAAGTCTTTATAAAACTGGTCCCTAAAATATGTGGCTCAAACTATAAATGGTGTCAGAACGCAAACGTCAGGGAGCACAGACTCCCTCGGAGCAAAGGTTCCCACAGGTGGTACTCGAGGGGAACTTTGTGGGATAGAGGACATTTCAGGGATGAAGTCCATCATCCAAGTTCCATGGCAGGGTGTGTGTTGTTGGAGAGAGGTTGGGTCACAAGAGAGCAGGTCTGCACTGCTGTCACCACAGGTGCCCAGATCCCCAGATGGGAAGAAGTGCCAGGGGCATCCACACTCAAGTTTCTGCCCAGAGAAGGTGAGGCCACCAGCTGGCAAGGGGACAGATCTCAGAGAAGTGTCATGTGGGGTGGAGGGACCACAATCTGGCACCAAGGCTGTGTGCACATGTGCAGGGTGGGTGTCATCTTGCTGGAGCAGGCTGGCTCCTTCTCTCCACCGGGAAGCAGATCCTGGCTTCGTGGGATATTGTAAAGTGCCGCTTTGGGGTTCCTAAGCCAGGGCAGCTGGTTTCCTCTTTCCTCCTGTGCACATGTGCATTTTGTTGTATCCTGAATCTCAGTGCGGATGTAAAACAACCCCCTCGTTAGCATTGTCTTCCTATCAGCAGTGGTACTTTATCCGTCACCAAGTCACATATAATATTGTTCTGATGTACGTGAATCCCACGCTCCACATTTGAGTCAGCATATGGCTAAAATGCTGGGTAGTTATGTGGCTATCAAAAGCATTATCAGGCTCGAAGGGTAAGTGACCTCTGACAGATATGGAAGTTCCAGCTGCTGCCACTGAAGCAGAGGTGCACACCTGGGTGCATGGGTTTGTTCACCAGGCGTGCTGGGACACAGAGGTTTTCTCACTGGTCCTTATGATCTTGCAAGATGTAGATTTCTCTCAACCCTTGGGGCTTAGGGAGAAGTAGGGCCAAAGACTGTTGGCTAGTGTGTTAATCTGGATCCTCCCAGAAGCAAATGCCAGAAAGATTGGTTATACAAGAGATGTATTGGGGGAAACTCCTTTGAGAGAAAATGGAGAGTGAAACTCAAGATACAGAGATGGCTGTCAGACGTCGATGCCGTCCTGACTCCGGTGGGAAGAGTGAGAAAGGAAGGCTGAGTAGGGTATCTTGAGGCTGTGGTACTTAGCATGTGGCTCAAACTCAGTGGTGTGAGGACTCCAACGTCAGGGAGCACAGACTCCATTGGAGCGCAGGTTCCCACAGGTGGTCCTGGAGGGGGAACTTTGTAGGATGGAGAGTGTTTTAGGGGTGAAACTAAAGAAAGGTTTGGCAAGGCTGGTAGGGTGTACTTGAGCCAAGGTGGCCCTGAAGAGGAGTCCCTGTCTCCCTGCCTCCATATCCCTGCTGTGCCCAGTCATCAGCGGAGAGAAACTCTTTGGAAGCTTGGCCTCCGTGGGAATGTGGTGAAGGGTTCTAGAGCATAGAAGCTGAGATCCCTGGCCAAGGGCACTCCCCACAGTGGGAGATCTCCCCTGGAGGAGTATTTTCATGGCTGTTATGTCCGATCACCTGTGGCTGCAAGCAGCTTCCCCCATTCACTTCAGTGCCCTTCTTCTTAAAGGCAGGAACCAGAGCTGGTGCAGAGAGCCAGCAGGGCCATTTTGGTTTGGAGGATTTGTGCAAATTTAACGACAGGAGGTGCAAGGCTCTCACTGTTATGACTTGCTTTCCCTGCTTGGGACATTTTATGTGTATTTCCTGTTATTTCACTGAAAGCATTTTTTCAGAAACAAGTGGCTCGCCCATCGGGAACCGTGACTGATAGCAGCCTGGGTTCCTTCTATTCAGCCACCACGCAGATAGCGTCTCGCACTCTCCCTGCTGTACATTCCACTCCAGCAGAAAGAGCAGCAGCAGCCATGGTACTCGCTCAATAACTTTTAGGAAATGAATCCTTTCTAGGCAAAGAGTGTTGAAAAAGTGACGTTCTTATGCAAGCACCCTAAACCATGTGGAGCGTAGATGATAGATCTTCCCTTCTTTTTCCTGGTAGGTTTTACTGTAGTCCTTTGACAGTGCGTGGACGGTTGCCCACTGTTCTGTGGCAGATCGAGCACTCCGTGAAGGTTACATATCCATCACTTATCTTCTCTGTCTCACAGAGGTTAGGATACAATATTTCTGACAGCTTTGAAGAGGTGGGCCAAACCCTGACGCAAGAATCAGTAAGATAAAATATTCTTGAAAGAAATCTATTTTCATTCTCACCTCTCAGTCTGATTAGTTCTCCACATTGTTACCAAAAGGATAGTCCTTATGTCAAAATGCCATTGCCTTACTCTCCCGCCTTAAATCTTTCAGTAGTTCTACATTAGTATTGGATTAAAAATCAAAACTTCTCAGCATGACAGAGAAGCCTCTTTGTCACTTGGTCTCTGCCTCTGGTCTACCGTCCAGAATTTTCTCTCTCTTTCTCTCTGTCCATTTATTCTTTTCTTACCCCACCTGTGATTCCCTAAATGCACCAGATTTCCTAAATCTCTCTGTGTTTATATGTTGTATTTATTTGGTTCTTATGAGTGATTGCTGACATAGTAACACCAACACATCACTGACTTTAGACAGCAGAAGTCCGTTTTTCACTCACGTAACAGTTGGGTGAAGGGATTCCTGGTTGCTGGGTGGTTTTCCTCCATCTGATGTTTGAGGGACCCAGGCTCTTTTAGCCTGTGGCTCGGGCTCCCTTTAGGTACTTTGCTTCCTTCTCATTCAGCTGGGAAAAGAGAAGCACAAAACCTCTCCTACTTCTTCAGTGCTGTGGCCCAGAAGTGACACACACCACTTCTGCTTACATTCCATCGGTGAGGACTGACCAGATGTAGGACAGCCAGGAAATGTTTTCAGTGAAATAACAGGAAATAAATATGAACTGTTCACTGACACTCCCCAAGCAGGGAAAGTAAGTCTGTCAGAAGAGTGAGCGCCTTGTACCTAGCGTGGGTTGTCTCCTCTTTGTACCCCTGTAACAGAGTGCTTAGCGCCAGTCATAGCACGTGCCACACTGTGTTATAATTGTTCTCTTATGAATCTTCATGTATACAGACAAGATCCTGTAGGACTGGGACTGTATGTTTACTCTAAATCTATAAATGTCTGGCACAAAATATGTACCCAATAAATGTTTCATTAAACAAACAGCACATTATCAGATGACTGGAATCATGAAAGGGAGTTAAAAGTTTTAAAATTTGATATTTTAAAGAGTGAATGTGGATTATTTATTCTAAAATACACATATCAATCCCCACACTTGAAACTAACGGTGTTTAGGCCTTTGACATTCCTTTGATATTTGTTAATAGATCCATGTTATCACATCACCCGTGAGTATTCTAACAGAGGTTATAAAGTCAAGGATTGTTGCTTAGTGTTCAACTCTCTGTGAAAAGGAGTGATGCAGTATTAGAATGTATTTGGGTATAGATAAGCAGAAAGTGTACTCAAAATTGTTTGAAAAATTAGAGAATATGTTATGTCAGATAACAAGAAGTCTAGAATTAGGGTAGTCCTATAGCAGGTTGGTTGGTCAAGTAGCTCAGCAATTCGGGAACCAGGTCTGTCTGTATCTTGGTCCTACTGGCCTCAGTATATTGACTATGTCTTGAATTAAATCCCTTCATGGTCAAAAGATACCTACCAGCAGAAAAACAGAAGTATTATCATACTGACTGTCCTGAGAGAGAGAACAAGAACACCTCTCTCCCCAGTCATGAAATATAAGTGTTTCCTTTTTGTCTGAAGGGGCTAACTTAGATTTGTGCCGACCTGTAGATAGAATTCTGTCTCCTGACTGATTTGAGGAGTATTTTCTCAGGGCAAAGGTTTCCTGGAAGCACCTCGGTGGGTAAGAGAAGTAGGTATTGCTTCTCTCAAAAATGTGAAGACCTTGGGAAGAAAAACATGCTAATATATGATGAATATTCAACCCATAGTGCCCACTACAAACATTTTAACAACACATTCTATTCAACTGGTATTTATGGAAGAGTGAACAATTTTCTAAACCAGCCAATGACCCAGCCTTTTCTCTGCCACTTCTAAAGTTTTCAAATCATATATTTAAAAGCATCGAGTAAGGATTGTTTTAGATTACCTTCTTCCAGTACAATTATTTATTCTTTATTTAGGTCTCATAATGGGACTAATTTTACGATATGCAACAGCACCAACTGATATTGAAAGCGGAACTGTCTATGATTGTGGAAAACTGACCTTCAGTCCATCAACACTGCTGGTTAATATCACCAATCAAGTTCATGAGTATAAATACAAAAGGGAAATAAGCCAGCACAACATCAGTCCCCACCAAGGCAATGCTATACTCGAAAAGGTAAGGATCCTGTCTGGTCATGTATTTTTGTTTTTCAGTATAAATAATTGCGTTATTTATGGGTCTCTTACATAGAATACACACACACACAGCTACGTACACAGGGTGGCCATAAAGTGCATGATGCACGCTATTTTAAATTGCACATGAACTTTATGGCCACCCTGTACATGTCCTTTTCAATACACCACAGTATTGGGGCCATTTAGTTGACTAAAGAGTCAATCACTTGAATTATATTCCTATTATAAACTCAGTTTTCTGTATGTTTTTCTTAGAAGTTGGAAAAGTTTTTGATATAAGAGTTTTGCAAGCCACAGTTAAATTCAGTAAAAGAAAAAAATAATAAACATTTGCAACTCTGCCTTTCCTGATACTTGTTTCAAGTTCACACATGTTGTGCCAAGTTCCACTGTATATATTGCCCCCCCTAACTACTCAGTGCAAATCTCCCTTAAGCCAAGGGGAAGGGGAGGGGAATGAAAACATTTTCACTTGCAAACCTTAATCTAGCATGACTGGCTTTTGGCTCCCAACACAGAACACTGGCCACTTGGCTGTCCTCAAATACTGTGACATATAGTCAATCTTGAGATCTTGACTTCATCAGTTCAGTTAGTAAATCTTAGGTAGAAAAAGAAAAATGCATGAAATGACCCATCTTTTTATAATGGTTTTATTATTGTGCATTTGTGAATCGCTTCAATTTCTGGAAGTAAAATTTCCCTCCACTTTCAGCACTTGGTGTCAGAAATCAGGTGAAGTTACCTTTTGTGGCACCTTGTTAATCCTGGATCATTCTCTGGAATAAGTGAATTCTTGTTTAACAATACAAGCGTAGTCTAAGAAACAGGATCTCACAGTCTGATTTCAGATACTTTTAGGTCAGAACTAAGAAGAATTTCCTGGTTTTATAAAAGTCTATTTTTACACTTTTATCTCATATGGACTTACTTTTTAGGTTAAAATACACTTTTCCTTCCATTTTGAGAGGTTGGGGTGGTAGAGGAGTTATCTGGTCTGCTATTTTTCCTCATTCAAGATGAGTAATTTATAGTAATTTTTTCACATCAAATTGATTGCAATACTAGCCTAAATCAGACTTAGTTAAGAAAGTGAATTGAAACACACAGAAAACAAATACATACACTAGAACCTCCATAGTTAACCAGCCCCTATGTTGACCATGTCAGGTTGACCTAATTTTTATAGATGGGACATGTATGAATTACATGGATAAATACACCTGTATTTATCAGTACAGCAGGCGTAGGTCCTTCTGTTGACTATTTGCTAACCACTTTTTTTTTGTTTTTGAGATAGTCTTACTCTGTTACCCTTGGTAGAGTGCCACAGCATCCTATCTCACAGCAATTTCAAACTCTTGGGCTTGAGCAATCCTCTTGCCTCAGCATCCTCAATAACTGGGACTACAGGTGCCTGCCACAATGCCCAGATAATGTTTCTATTTTTAGTAGAGACAGGGTCTGGCTCTTGCTCCGGCTGTCCTTGAACTCCTGAGCTCAGACATCCTGCTGCCTTGGCTTCCCAGAGTGCTGGGATTACAGGTGTGAGCCACTGGGCCCAGCGTTGCTAACCAGTTTGTTACAGTCTTTGGGAAGTTGCCTTACAGAAGTTCTACTGTAATATCTCTGAAATAAATAGGAGCAAGTTCTAGATCTTTTTCTGGTTTGGATAACCTCTTCTTCCATATTTCTTTTTGTTCACGTGGTAATAGAAAGTCAAATGGTCCTTTAACCATTTGGATCTGTGTGAAGAAAGCATGTGGAATTTAACCCATTTCTTTGGGGAGAGACTTGTTCTGGATGCTCCCTCAGTCCCTTTCTCCCTTGTACTGTAAAATTTTGGGATTTTCCAAAAATTTTATCTTCCTGTGATATGTGGGTCACGGGAAGAAGTGGGTTTTTTAGTTGAATTATTTTTAACATTCTTCATGAATGTAAGTTTGGATTATTTAACTGACTGTTCTTGTTGTAAAATCTTGTCATGTGTATAAAAATAAAAAAGGTCACAAATTTAAAAAAAGGAAATAAAATTATCTGCCCTAAAATAAATAAATTTTTAAAATCACCTTTTAGCAACACAGGATTGCAATTAAAATATACCATTGGTTAGTACTCGGGCATAAATTCAGTATTTTCTCCTCACTTTCCTAGCCATTTTTAGCTGCATTTCTACATTGCACTATTCCTTCAAACAGTCTGACCACTGCCCCTCCCAAAGATGCTGATAATTATTTTTGTTGCTGTAGCAATTTTATTCTTTAACAGGATTGCCAATAGACGCTGGATTAGAAATTTTGTTATTGAATTATTGACATATTTATTCCTTTATTGGCAGCCAAAGTCCAATGTTAGCTTTTGAAAAACTAACATAGAGATAGAGAAAATGTCTAAGTTGCTGGCCCCCATCGTCTTTTGCAGTGGATGGATTATGAGCTCTGTACATAAAATGTTCAATTGACCTCAAATGGCTCAGGTATTTTCTGGATAAACTCCTAAATCATGTGACCCATTACGGCACAATCACCATTTGTTGTTTCAAGCCTCCGGGGTTGGCAATAGGTGACTTAGCACACGGAGTGAGTTCTTTCCTCATCGATGGTGAATACTAGGACGTCTGTGGGTGCACTCACTATATTAGACTACTTTCAAGGGAAAGGATCCTGTTTATAAATGGATAGGGTATGTCTTAATACACATTCGTTGCTTATGTGCCAATGTTTGGGGACTTTACTTGGTTTGCAAAAATGAACAATCCGCTGCCTGGATTCCTTACTCTCAGTTCTCCGCTGCATACCACTTTCCTATCAACTAATCAATCGATGTATGTGTAGGTTAGATGCCGAGGAAGGTCCATTCATTGGAAGGCTTATAAGGAGGCAACATGTAGTGATGGTTAAAGAAATTCAGAATCAGACAGATTTGCGACCCCTTCCTTCATAAGTTCCTGAAATGTCCCAACCCCAACTTTTTACTTGTGAAGTGGGGAGAATAAAACCTGTTTTATAGGCTAGTTGTAATGTTTAAATGAGATGATATGGAATAGGAGATGATGTGCTGACTAATGGGGGGCTTTGCACCGCGTTGTTATCACGGCCACTGCTCCAGCACTGCAGCCTCACGGCCGCCTCCTCCACCTCCAACCATGAGCTACATTGCTACTCCTAAGCAATGGCTGAGTGCTTACTATATGCCAGGAATTAATAAAACGTGCATTTTATGTATTTGCTTACATTCACTTGGGGAGTTAAAACCAATGTTTAATATAATATATATCTGTATATGATTCAGTTCCAAGCTATATCATATGGTACATAAGGACTTTAAAACTACAGATACCTGAGCTTGTTTGGGAGGCTTCCTGGAGGAGGTGGCACTTGAGAAGGGTGCATGTGGTTTGGACAGGCAGTAAGAATTGAGCTCAGAATGGAGATTATGGAAGGGTTGGTTGGAAGGTGAGAATACAGTATGTGATTACCTAGATAAGAAGGGAAGAGGGCTTTGTGGAGGGACTGGATGCTTGGGAATAACAGAAACATCTTAATGTATAGAAAAATGTTATGAGAAAACTCTAAGATTCTAGGAATTCAAACCTAGATGAAAGAATATGAGACGGGGGAGATGTCTCAGGGTAGTTAAAAGGGGAAAGAAGATTTGAGGGAGGAGATGAATGGGTAAAAATGACCCTGGATCTGCATATACAGATCACCTAATTTAGAGCAAGAAAAATATCTGACCTCATTCAGCAGAACCTTGTCATTTGATAGATAAGCAAAACAAAAATTTAAGCATTAAAATAGATTTAGATCCATGGTTCCTAAACTATTTGCACTTTGCAATCATTTGGAAGCTTCAAAAAGTCTTGAAGCCTGTGTTCCACCTTTGGAGTGTATGACTGTTTTAGGGAGTAGCTTGAGCAGGACTTTTAGACAATCACCAAGTTGATTCTAATGGGCAGACAAGTTTGGGATTTCATCCTACTGCGAGATCAGGTAAAAATGATGAGGAGAGAGATGCTACTCTCAGGTCTCTTTCCCTCATCCCCACCGCTGCAGATCTACCATCCCCATTTATCCTCAGGACACCTGCATGTCATTCCTTTTGCCTAAAATGGTCTTACTTTCACCCTTCAAATATCAGCTTCCTTTCTATCCTATTCAAATCTTGGCTTGAAATACCATCTCTTCAGGGAGGGCTCGCCCCTGAATTTTCTCACACTACATCTTCTCTCTCTCTCATTTCATAGTATTTAACACCATCTGAAATTACATGTGTACTTCCTTGTTTTTGTTTATTATCATTATAACATTATTTATTTTCTACTAGCCTCCAAATTCACAAAGGCAGGGACCCTGCCTCTTTTATTGCCAATGCATCCTTAAAGCCCATCCTGGTGCCTCACGCGAATAGCTGCAAAATAAACACTTGGTGCTCTGCCAAGCTCTCAGGTTAATTCAATTATTCATTCATTCATTTGCCTATATCTAGAGAAATATACAGTATTTGAAAATTAAAATCTTGAAGTTGGTAGAATTGTAGTGTCTTGGATGCTTAATGCTTGAAGAAACCTGAGGTATTCTCTAATCTTAATTGTACATATACAGATAATAAATTAATGTTCAGAGAAATTACATAGTGGGTCTAGGTTCCTACCACCAGTAAGAGCAGAGTAAGAACCAAGACTTAGAGCACTTGACTCTGAGTCCCAGGTGGTTTATTGTACCGCACGCCACTGGACAAGGTCTCTGAGAGGGTCCATTGACAGGGAAGGGCAGGGTGCCTGGGGCTGAGAACCAGGGAACTTCATAGGCACTTCATAGGTCACTTCATGACCAGTGGTAGGAAGAGTTGGTCAGAGTTCCAGAAAAGATCCAGCTCCACAGAATCACAGAAGCTACCAGGGTGGCCCTAGTGGGTCCTTTTCCTTTGTGGTACATATTAAAGGGAGTATTTGGCCTTAATTTCTAAAAGTTATAGGATTTGAGTTTTACTCTTAGTTTAGAAGAATGTAGTTTAGAGGCTTACATGACATTCCTGACTTCAGGATTTGGAGAGGCTGGAATGATTTCTTATGCTGGGTAATCGCCTCTTGGAAGATATTATAACAGCACATGTATTTTTGGGATGGCTACACATTGATATGCTTGGAAAGAGAAAAGGCTTGATGGCTCCATGAGTTCCTTCCAATGAGAGGGTATAAGACTGGAAAGTATAAGAGCTGTTGGCATTTATATAAGCAGCAATGTACTGAGGTTTTATGCCGTGTGTAAACACATAAAGATTTCAGGAAATGCCATATGCTAAACTTGTGTTTCTCATGTTTGACACAGATAAAACTGTAGAAAGGAAAAGATGTTTTCCCTTAAAGACTAGTGAAAACAATATTCTTCTAAATATTAGGATCAGATGATGAACTCAAAGCAATCTTCTGAGAGGATAAAACCAGACCATGTTGCTCTGTGTCTATCTGGCCTATTTCTAATACCATTTCTCAAATTATTTTGTGCATGCCAGACACCCTTAACTAGTTTTAATCCTATGGGTCCTGTACATTATTATACAATGGTCCAGATTGCAAATGTTTATTTGTTGTTATTCTTAAATGCAATATTTAGGAATCTCAAGGTGTTTATAAGTATTTTTGAATTTTATAGGAATAGGAAGTTCAAAACTTGCTTTTGAAAAGCAGATGACAGGAGAACTTTATCCTTCCTGCTTTCACTCATTTATTCTTTCAATACAATTAAACTGAAAAAGTCCCATCAGTTTCAATACTGAGATAAGATGTGATCTTAAGGAGTTTACTAGTCAATCAGAGAAAAACATAATATGCAAATAAATAAATAGGTGACACTAAAGCCAGGTATCAAAGGAGTAGGCCAAGAACCACAGGCACTCGGAAAAGGACAACATGTCTTCCGTTAGAGGTGATAGGAAGGATTGCAAAGAGAGGCAGTCAACTGACTGTGGTGGTGGTGGTATGTGTGGTGTGTGGGGGTGGAGAGGATTCTGGGCAGAGGGAAAAACATGATGTGGAAGTGGGGAAAGAGATTGTTGTGACCTGCTTCCCAGCCCGTTTCCCTCCCCCTCCTTCCCACTCCCCAGAGTCGACTCTGGGAACAAGGCAAGTCCCTCCTCCCCCCAGGGTGGCTGAGAATGTGCTTCCCAGCCACATTCCCAGGCTCCTTCCCCCTGGGGTTGCCAAGAACAAGCTTCAGAACAAGGAGGAAAAGTCCCAAGTTTCACAAAACCCCCAAGTTCTCAGTAGATGAACAATGGTGGAAAACTCACGGAGACTTGATTAATTACTGTAACCATTGTGATATGAGACGCATCCATTGTCAACCAAAGCTGTATTAATCATTGTTACATTACTGTAACCATTGCTCTATCCATGACTACCCGAGCTTTAACCCCACTTAACCAGCCACATTTCACATATGTAATATGCTTGCATAAAACCTATAAAAAGTAACTCACCCCCCTACTTTGCTGCTGACTGCCTCTTAAAGCAGCAGCCCCTGCGGCAGATAAAATGGGGGTCTGACTCTATCTTTTCAGGTCATGGGGGTACCACAAGATAGAATATTCCAGGAAAGGGAAACATTTCTAAATATGTGTATAGTTGAAGTCCAGAAGACCAATGAAACATGGTGCTAGAAATGAAGGCAGATCTGATCACAGAAACCCCTGACTGCCAGTTGGAGTCATATCCACTCTGTTTGCAGGCAGTGGAATAGTGTCATCTTGACAAAGCAAAGGTGTGGTTGGGCTGTCATGCACAGGATAGAGCATGATAGCAAAGAGACAGATGAATCTTAAACTTGGATTGTGACCAAGGGGCACCAAGGGGCAGATGGAAGAAAAACAAGGAAGGAAGGCTACTAGGGCTTGGCTCAGCTGGACAGGAGAAGGAAGAGAGAAAACAGCTTGGTTTGCTGCCCTAGTCTCGGGGATTCACAGAAGGGTGGTAGGGCAGAAATGTGGGCTTGGAGTTAGAAGGATTTGGTTTGTAGGAGGAAAATCACAAATATGGTTTAAAACTAACAAGTAAATGAATCAATCGATTTCATCATTAATTTATTCACAGTGATTTAGCACATTATGTGTTTACAATATTGAGTTGGAAGGGTCAGAGGGTCATTCAGCTGAAAAGGTCAGCTGTCAACCCAGTTAAATTTATACTTCCTATCATTCATACATCTGTTGACCACAATGTAAAAAGTTAAAGGAAACTACACAGTGAAAATTCTGCGAAGTCTTCACTTCCTATATGACAAGTGACACTATCACTTGACAAAGGAAGCTATTTTGAAGTTAGTGACCCTGCTGCTGAGCAATTATTCCTGTCCATTGTTTCAGCAAAGAGAATTGCCAAGCTGTAAATAAGTCATCAGAGCTCGTACAATTATATTGGTAATATCGTATATTTTAGAAATACTTTAAGGAAGCCCTTATAGAAACAGCTAATCACATGACTTTTGAAAGTAATTCCATTTTTTGCAACATTAAATAAATAAATGCAATCCTTCCTTTTTTTTCTCACTGTCCAACTTTTCCTAATGGTGGTTTTAATTTTTTGTGGTTCTGTTTGAATTCCCCAGATATTTATTTGTCAATTATTTTGTACTTTCTGGTATTTTATGTAACTTGATGCTTCTAGCTGCAGAGGCACAGGGGACAGCTCTTACCATAACAGGAACAGTCTGACCAGAGAGAGTCCCTGGACAATGAGATAAATACGTACGCATGTAGGAGTGGGACGTGCTTGGGGAAGATAAAGAAAAGGCTGGAAAGAAATGTCCTTTAAAACTTTTCTGGGCACACTGAAAGAAAGCAAGCAAAC